GAAGGTGACGGTGCAGGGCCATCGGCAACAGAGCGATGGAGTGAATGGTGACAAAATGAACAACAGTGGCCAAAGCGAACAGTGAGCAGCTGGAGGAACAAGCAAGGTGCCTTCTTGCCCCCCACCTGGGAGGTGTACTCCCATGAAAGCACCTCTGAACACTGACCAAGGACAACACTGACCAAGGAGTGGGGTGAGGTGGAGGGAAAAATGAGGGGCACGTTACATAAACATTTGTTTGTGGGACTATATTTTAGTGACTCTGCTCCAGAATGTTAGATTTGTGACTGGGAATGGAAACTTATATAAATGTGTTTCCTAATAGGCCAAGACTTTTAAAATGCATTATTTTCCAAGGTTGTTATCTCGCATCGTTGCTATCTTGAGAGGTCATTATGTTGGGCAGTTTCTGTACTAAACATTTTTATTATTATAATTAATTTTTACATAAGAATGGTCATACTGGGTCAGACAAGTGATCCATATAGCCCAGTATCCTGTCCTCCGACAGTGGTCAAGGCCAGGTGCTTCAGAGGGAATGAACAGAACAGGTAATCAAGTGATCCATCCCCTGTTGCCCACTCCCAGCTTCTGGCAACAGGCTAGGGACACTCAGAGCATGGTATTGCATCCCTCCCCATCCTGATGGACCTATTCTCCAGGAATTTATCTAGTTCTTTTTTTTTAATCCTGTTATAATTTTGGTCTTCACAGTATCCCCTGGCAAGGAGTTCCACGGGTTGACTTTATGTTGTATGAAGAAGTACTTCCTTTTGTTTTTTTTAAAACCTGCTGCCTATTCATTTCATTGGGCGACTGCTAGTTCTTGTGTTATGTGAAGGATTAAATAACATTTCCTTATTCACTTTCTTCCCCCCAGTCAAAATTTTATAGACCCCCTATCATAATCCCTCCTTAGTTGTCTCTTTTTCTCAGTCATTTTAATCTCGCCTCCTGTTTCATACCCCTAATCATTTTAGTTGCCCAAATCTGTACCTTTTCCAGTTCCAATATATCTTTTTTGGGACAGGGTGACCAGATCTGCACACAGTATTCAAGGTATGCACATACCATGAATTTATATAGAGGCAATATGATATTTTCTGTTATGTGTTTTGGTGTATTTTGCATTATCCTAACAAAACATTTAATTTATTCATATCTCTTTTATACGTTGCAGGTCAAAGTGAAAATGAAAAGAAAAAAACAACTGTGGAAGAAAACAAGCATTCATTTTGCGTTTGTAAGAAGAATATATCAACATGTCATCTGAAGGGTCAAGTGGTGTATCTACATCTGACCAGCCCGAAGCATAAATACAGCTACCTACTGAAGAAACAGTGTCTCCAAATCCTAAAGGCAGTTCCCCATGTTTGTCGATTAAAGTGTTCCCATTTATTGAAGTTACAAAAGGGTGCACCTCTTGCAAAAAAGCTTACGAAGAAGGAAAGCTTTCCAATGCTATAACTGGTAAAAATGGAGGAGCTTGGTTTGTCAGACCGATCAGCAAAGCCAATGCTGACAAATTATGTGAAAAGGCAGCAAAACACCAGGCCTCTGGACTGCATCAACATGCAGAAAGCCTCATAAGGCTAACTTTCAAAGCCAATTTTAGAAGTACTTAATGAGGCTGTTAAGAATGCTGGAGACACAACACAGTTCACAGGAACAAACATGGCTGTGGCATCATATTTTCTATTTAAGCAAGAGATGCCACACACTACAAACTGGAGGCCAATATTAAGTGTATTATCACTAGTTCATCCTGAAGTTGAACACTGGTTCTGAACAATACTAGCAAATGCTTACTATCTTTCTGCAAGAAATTCAACTGACTGGCTAGAAGCATGAGGTACAACAGTGAAAGATGCAACAGTTGAAAAAGTGAAGAACTCTCTCACCACATTACAAAAATTTGCATACATGGCTGATGAATGCACTGATGCAAATGGGCATCAAGTCATTATGTACGTTATCTTAATGTCAGTGGTAGGCAAGTAGATGCATTTCTAGATGTTCAAGTTATAGAAAACACATTGGCTGCATCTGTGACAACCTACATTGGTTGCTTGTGCATTTGATGGAGCTGTGAACTTCTCTGGAAGACATGGTGGAGTACAAGCTTTGCTCAGAGAAAAGTGTAACCCAAATCTCTCCTATACACACTGCAGAGGCCATCTACTCCAACTAGCACTAGTATGAGCTGCAGAATCTTCAAAGGACATTAAAAAAAGCTATAAATGTAATGTCTTCATTATATTCTTTTTTCAGCAAGAATCCAAAGACTGAATATCTTGGAAAATATAGAAGATACACTGGGACTGAAGTTCAAGTTAGTCCAACCTGGGAAAACCCGCTGGCTTTCTCATGAGCGATCCTTGGCTGTTGTCTTAAAATTACTCCAGCCATTATTACTGACTTTGGAGAGTATCCACCAAGATGGGATGGGTCTAAGTAGTGAGGCTGATGGCTTACTTTTGCTACTATGTTCAGAGAAGACTATTGCCATTCTCTCTCTCATAAGTCTACTGTTGAAACCACTTGGGTCATTAAACAATGCCATCCAGGCATCTGCTACAACAGTAGTAGATCTTTGTCCAGCAATAGAAGCT